TGCAGGAAGTCGTCCAAGGACTTCTATGCGCTGATGATCGTGTGTGCATGTCTAAGGTTCTTTGTAGTAATTGCTTGTTTAACACATTATGTAAAATGTTTCCTCCTGACATGGGATTTACAACTGAAGGTCTACAGCTACCAATTGAACACCTCCAAGTTCGAATTGACCCAATCATCGTCAGCCCTGGACCGTTCGGCCCTATCTCGGATAACCATTTTACTACACTTACCGGCGGGGGTTTCCATTGTCCCTCGTTTGTTTGTAATGCGTTCTCGGTCAACCATGCATTTGCTACGGAAGAAGCTGAACACCCCCAAATTGCGAAGTTTCCTGAATAGTTATCGTGCCCCAGGAGCCTCCCCCAGATATTCATCCACCTTAAAGCGTGGGAGATAATCATTAACTATAATTCCATGGTTGAGGAGCAACCTGAGCGCGCGCGAGAAGCAACAGTTTAACTTGTCTGTGACTTGTTCCGACTTGGCTGGCCCCCCGAAATAATCGGACCAGGACTGCGATACCTTCCCCGATGTCTTTCCTCGGCCTACATCCTTGTTGTCCGCTGGTTGGGGAGGATGCTGCGAAAGAAAAGCACAATTCTGGAAGAGTTGCGAGATGCGAAGGGGTCGGCCCTGATGGTGCATTCAGTGGTTTCTGCCTTGTATGTCTCCCTCGGAACCCCCCTCCCCTATCCGTATCCGTCTTGGTTTGAGCATGCCGCGAGCCTCCAGCGTCCAACTTGCAGTGATCCTCATCCTGTGCTGTCTCCCACGCTCAGCCATGAGCAGGCGAGACAAAGACGGTGGTGGGCAGAAACCCAAGTTAGTACCCGGCCAGTACCAGCACCAGCAGAAGTACCCGTACCCAAACCAGTACCAGCAGAGACCTCCACAGCAGCGTCATTACGGTAGCCAGGACGCCTACGTGCAGAGCGCCCTCCAGGAGGTCAGGGCTACCAGCGCCGCCTTTCAAGCACGAGACGAACAACATGCTGCACGCCAAAAGAAGAAACACTTCCGTATGACAGTGCAGAACACGGTGGCAGAAATGCTTGGAATGAAGGCGCCAGACAAAAAGGACAAGAGAAATAAGAAGGACAAACAAACTAAGAAAGCTGATGGAATCTTGAATGATGACAAGAAAAAACAATTATTTTCCTAAAACTAACAAGCATACTAATCCTTAAATGACGCAAAAGTAACACGTCAAATTCGAGCAATACTACTTCATCATCGTCTTCTTCATCAGAATCCATAAACTTCAAGAAAGTCCGTAAGCAATGGCAGAACATCCAGAAAACGAAATCAAATAACGCAGACGCCGAGAACCAACTGACGATGCAACTCATGCAGATGATGATGAGCCAGCCGAACAGTGATGACATCCCTAGCACACCGGTGAAGCCAAATAAGTCAAATTATATGAAAACGCTCATGTCCCAGATGCAACATATCCTTGAGATGAAGAGCGAATCCTCCGGAAGCTCGTCAAGCAGCCAACTGGATTCCAAGGAACCTGAGATCATAGCGTTGAAGCTACAGCTTGAAGAAATGAACAAGATGGTAACCAGCTCCCCGAAGGTCTCGAAGAGTAAGCTCATCCTGGCAGGTGATGAACCTCCTGAGGCTCCAGAAGTACCAGCAGCAGTTGGGCCAGTACCTGAAGATACCGTGAACTTGGCAAAGGAGTTGCTGCCAGATGAGAACTTCGATGAGTGGCCGACGGTAAGAGATGAATGGGTACAGAAGCTTGCAGGCGTACCCACCATCACACATAACAAGCTCAATGGTTACCTCAAGAAGAACGGTCTATCGCAAACCACTGGTCGAGATACAGCTGGCAAGATCTACCAGCTCTTTACAAAAGGGCGAGGCCGCCTGAGATGACCAAGTGTTTGAGGCGATTTCTTCGGCGCAGGTACCGCCGCGCCGTGCGTCTTGGAGCCATTATTTGGCTCCCCGTGGTTCTCACGGCTGACCTCCTCCAGCTAGTGATCGGTCGCATCCCGCGCATGCCTGTCCAGCGTGTCCCGATATGCGCGGCTGTGATCTCACATTCCAAATTTCTCAGTGCTGCTGCCTTCGTCCTGTATAGGACGCGGGTGGGTGCAGCAGCAGCTGCAGCGTGTTTGCAGCCCTCCCATGAGTTCTTAGCTTCACTTGATGTAGCTGCTGCGCATGTCCAAATTCGTTTCGAAGTTGCCAGCTTACTTCAAAGCTGGATACACAACAATTGGGTATTCGTGCTCAGTAGCCTCTTGCTTGTGTGCCGACTGGCCCTAGTATTAGGGCACGTGGTCATCTGTCTTCCATACTCTTCCATATTGTTGCTATGCTTGATCATGATTGGCCTGCTGTAGGCCCAGGAAAGTTCTTTGGCAGAGGACGTAATGCCAGTGGAGGACACCACCACCAACCGTACCAACGCGGTAGAGAACCAGGCCGATGGAAAGGGGTCTGGGGTGAGGAAGGGGTCGGAAGGGGCAGGAAGTGCTGAAGCGTCATCCTTTCCTCCTTCCTTCTCTCATCTCGTCCATCTTCCTATGTCGTACTGTTGCCTACCAAGCAGCAGCAGCAGCAGCAGCAGCAGCAGCAGCAGCAGCAGCAGCAGCAGCAGCAGCAGCAGTAGGGGCAACGAACACGCAGGTACATGCCAGCGATTCAGCATTATGAAGCTAGTACATTAAAGTCTGCAGTAGAGTCGTACGACGAGGTGTTGTGCATGCACCCATCTGTTGGTTGCTCACGGCGGGGCGCCAATTTTTTGAGCGCGGCGCGGACACGCTCGCAATCGCAGGCAATGTCCGTCTGCATCGTGGGTGAGCAAGCTGCGTGCGTGCGCCGCCACGCTAGAAGGGATCGCCCCATCCTCATCGCCACCATGTTATTTTCCATCATCGTCACTGCTGCCACCGTCGTCATCGCCATCATCTTATATCACACCCCGACTCTTTGGAGTCAACGCCGGCCTATACTCGCTGAACCGCGCTCGAACTGTACTGCGGGATTCCCTTACCTGCGGTCCTCAGCGCTTGCACGGCGGTCACGGGCTTGCTCCCGGTGCCCGCCCGCCACAGCCTCGTCGCCGCCTCGTGCGCTGGCTGGGCCTGCTGGGCTTTCGGCCAGCAGGCGCCCGCCGCCGCCTCGTGCGCTGGCTCGCGTTTCATCACGCTCGCGAGCTCACACCACACGAACTGCACCCCATGCGCGGCGCCGCACAGGCTGCACCGCGTAGGTCTCTTGTCGCGAGAAAGGCTCGGCTCTACCTCTTCATCGGAGCCAAACTTGACGGACCCCCACCGGGTGTCGCATCTGCAGACTATCCCACGCGATGGAACTCTTCCACCGTGCCAGCCCTGAGAGGTAAAGGGCTTGCAAAATTCTCCAAGGGCCTGGACCCCCGGTTTCTCAGGCGCTCTTGGGCGTTCTGGGCACTTCCGGGGTGTTTCGTGCGGGTCGCTGTGACGGCAAGCCCGCCCAGGAGGGCCCCACAACGGGCCTCGATGTCCCCCCAAAGCCCCCCGAAACGGTCCAAGGGGGCCCCAAGTCGCCCCGAGAGCGATCCCAGAAGCCCAAGATGGCCTCACGACGGCCAAGGAAGCTCCCAAGAAGCTCCCTGGGAGCTCTGGGAGTACCCCAGAGTGTCCTAAGAGGTCACAGTGATGTATTTCACCATTTTTGTTTGTTTGTTTTTAGCCTTCTCGCTTTTTTCAGCCTCCAACGCTCCAAGACGGCCCAGGAGGCCCCGAGGAGGCCTCAAGACGCCCCAAGAGGGCCCCAAGACGGCCCGAGAGGCTCCCAGAACGGCCCAAATGGCTCGCAAGAGGGCCCCAAGAAGGAACCAAGAGGGGGAACACGAACGGACATTTCGAGCCTTCCGCCCCAAGACGGCCCAAGGAGACCCTCAGATGCTCCCGAGGCCTCCACAAGACACCCCAAGAGGCCCCCCAAAGGCATCCAAAAAAGACAAGATGAGGCCCCCCAGAAGCCCCCAAGAGCCCTACAAGCGTCTCCCCAGATGCACCCCAAGCGACCCTTATGGGCATCCAGGTGGCCTCTGGACCACAGCCCAGGGACGTTGGCGGGATGGACCGAAAGCCATTCGATACCACATTCCACCGACTCACCCTGTCATCTCTGTCGAACAACGGAATGCGGTGCGCGAGCGCTGGTCCGACCAGCGCGCTGTGCAAGAACCCCTTGATTAGAAGGTCATACCATGCGGGCCACACGCGCGCACGCGCCCAAATCATACCAACACCAATGGCTCTATCACCTTTTCAACGTAGAGCTCTGACAAGACTTACTGGCTCTCTCAGTGCACCTTTTTACTGGCAGCCCTTTCCTGCTGGGGTTTAGCCCTGCATCCGCAGGCTATCTGAATGCTCCTGGCCGCTCTCTCTCTCTCTCTCTTTCTCTCTCCCCCTCTGTCTCTCCCCTCTCTCTCCCTCTTTCTCCATTTCTTTCCTGCCGAGTCGCGTCTTTCTCTTGCTCTCCGCCTCTGCCTCTCTGTCTTCCCCCCCCTCTCTCTCGCTCTCTCTGCTCTCCCTGCCTTTCCCCCCCCCCTTCTCTCTCGCTCTCTCTGCTCTCCCTGCCTTTCCCCTCCCTCTCCCTCTCTCTCTCTTCCTCTCCCTCCCTCCTGCCGAGCCGCGTCCGCCGACCCCCCTCTCGGGCGCCTGCGACAGCACCCTCACTTGCGGAGCGTGCCGACACGCCGGGCCTCGCGGCTCGACCCTCTCGGGCCGGGCCCGGCCTTCCGGTGGGGGCTCCGCGGCCCCGGGAGGAGGACTGGCCATCGCTCGGACGTCCATTTCCTTTTTTTTTTTTTTTTTTTTTTTTTTTTTTTTTTTTTTTTTTTTTTTTTTTTTTTTTTTTTTTTTTTTTTTTATATATATATATATATATATTATATATATATATATATATTGTTTTTTTTGGTTTCGTGCGTGGTTTTTTTCGCCAAGTGATCAAGGATGCTCCTCGATGGTCCTCGCCGAAGAAAAAAAAACGCACACGTCCGAGCGATGCCAAAGAGGGGAGGCGGCGCCCGCACTCGCGCGTCACAGCCGGGGCCCTGGGGAACCCCCCCTCGCGCTCGGCAGGGCGCGTGCCATGGACGGACGCCTTCGCGCAGCCCGAAACTCAGCAGCATCTCCTCCTTGCCGAGGCCGAGGAGCCTCCTCCCTCCTCCCTCCTCCCTCCTCCCTCCTCCTCCTCCCTCCTCCCTCCTCCCTCCTCCCTCCTCCCCCTCCTCCTCCTCCTACCTCCTCCTCCTCCTCCTCCCTCCTCCCTCCTCCTCCTCCTCCTCTCCTCCCTCCTCCTCTCCTCCCTCCTCCCTCCTCCCTCCTCCTCCTCCTCCCCTCCTCCCTCCTCCCTCCTCCCTCCTCCCTCCTCCCTCCTCCCTCCTCCCTCCTCCCTCCTCCTCCTCCCTCCTCCCTCCTCCCTCCTCCTCCTCCTCCTCCTCCTCCTCCTCCTCCTCCTCACCTCCCTCCTCCCCTCCTCCTCCTCCTCCTCCTCCTCCTCCTCGCCGGAGTCTTGCTCCCTGCTCCGCAGCCTCTTTCAGGGTTCAGCCCGAGTCCGACAGAGGGCGGCAACGTTACTGAACTTTCGCCTGGCGCTTGAGAGAAAAGTTCTATGCAGAGAGATATCGTGCGCGTAGGGGCGTCGAACTTTCAGCTGCCTGAGGTGCGCCAAAGCTTCTGCGGGTCCCCAGGGCCACCGGGGGATAAGAAGCTTCCGCGGGCAGCTACTGACAGGCTCGTTTCTTGTGTGCCGTGCCTACTGTGTCAGCGAGCTGAGCTGGAGCTCAAGACGATGCCGATGGCAGGAGCCCATTTTCGCCGTGCCGCATCACGAGTACAGCTTCGTCAGCAGGGCCGCCAGCAGCCCCGCGCACGGCAGGGTGGCCGCCCACGTCAGCGCGATCCTGGACAGCATGCGCCAAGAGACCCCCTCCAGTCCCGCAGCCGCCACGCCGACGCACACCACTGCGCTGATCTGGCAGCACGTCGTCGAGACCGGCAGGTGCATCAGCGTGGCAGCAAACACGGCGGAGGCGGAGGCCCACTCCACGCAGTACCCGACGTGGTAGTCGAGGGAGCAGAGGCCCTCGCCCACAGTCCTGATTACTCGATGCCCGAACGTGTTTACCCCTACAAAAACAAAAAGGCCAGCGATGAGCATGACCCACCATGGCGTCGGCTCCAGGTCGCAAGCGTAGACGCCACTGTTGTAGGCACCGTAGATGGCACCGAAGGGGCCCGTGGCGTTCGCGGTGTCGTTGGCGCCGATCGCAAAAGACTCCAGGAAGGCGTTGAACACCAGCAGGCGTTTGAAGCAGCACTTCGCCAGGGCCTGCTCTACAGTTGGTGCGGAAGGCGCGAAGAGTCGGAGGCCTCGTTCGCCGTCGGCAGGGCGCTGAGCTTCGCGCTGGCATGGGTCTTCACGCGCTGGTCGCGCTGGGCAGTCCCCAAGATGCTGCGATGCTCTCAGTGCACCTGTAACGCGGCCGACCTCCTCCGCCTCGTGGGCTCTCGCCTTGGCCTCGTATACCTTTCGCGCGTAGGAGACTTCCAACTTCACATGCGGCATGACGCTACGGTTCACGACGAAGGGCACCGTGAAGAGCGTCGCAATGGACACCAGCATACGCGGGCCCCATTTGAAGCTCGTAGCTGTCATGGGCGAAATCAACAGAGTCAGATAGAGAAGCATCGCGCTCGTGATGCCGTACATGCATGGCACGGCAACGAAGGCAGCCTTCACCGGATCTCCGCTCTTAAAAATGAGAAAATGTGTCGACACATACATGGCCATTCCCGAGATACCAGCGAGGATGGGAGAAACCACCCACGACAAGGCAATCGAGCCAAGGCCGCCCTCGAGCGGCGACCAATTGAGGCAGCCGGAGCCCACAGATGACCACGTCATGCCCACGACGCCAGCCACGACGACGTGGGTGCTCGAGACAGGCATGCCGAGGAGGGTGGCCCCCATCAAGTACACAACAGCGCCGCACAGGGCTGCGAGCATGCCAAGCTCATGGGTACCCATTTTACTGGTGCACAGCCCGCACGCCCAGCAGCCCTCGCCACCCGGTTCCACGACGAACTCCTGCAAGGTGCCAGACACTCCCGTCCCAAGCAACGCCGAACCCAACAGTTCGCCGAGCCCGCCCAGCAGGCAGCCAGCCCGAATGCCGATGGCACCAGACCCAACCGCGGAACCCCACGCCTCGCCTGCGTTATTTCCGCCGATCGCGACCGACAGGGCGCAGGCGGCCACCGAGCCGAGCACCAGGATCGCGAGGCGACCCGCCCTCGAGTCCGCGCCGGGGCCCGGGGCGGGCGCGCAGGTGCTGTTCGGTGCGGCGATGCCGGCGCCGCCGCAGAACGCGCAGTCCACCGTCTTGGCGCCTTCGACGCACTCCACCTCGGCCACCCACGCCGGCGGCACGCAGCCCTGGCCGCCCGCGCCCCAGCAGAGCGTAAGGGCCAGCAGCACGGCCAGCGTGGCGGCCGCGCGCTGCCGGCCCATGGCCAGATCGGTCGGCCGCGCGGAGCTGGGCGACCGCCGCCGCTGCCGCCCGTTGCCTGCCGCCGCTGCCGCCCGCCCGCTGCCGCCACGCGGCCACGCTGCTGCTCACTCGGCCCGAACCTGACGGGCCGGTCGACCCTGTCGGCGCCATGGCCTGGCTCGAGCCGAGGCCACCACGCCTTTGAGAGCCAGAATGGCTGCGGAGGTTCTTCAACAAGCGGGCTGTCGGATTTTCTGCGCGCGCGCGCCTGTGCTTAGCTTGCGCGAGCACAATCGGCTTCCTGCCACCCCTTTCCAAATGAGACCCGGCGGGCCGCACACGCGCGCCACAGCGTGCACGCCAAACTCTATCCAACACTATCGCGCCCTTGCCAGCATCGTTAGTCATAGATTTCCCCTGCCATCCTTATCCGATAACACCATGCGGGCCGCACGCGCGCGTCCCCGCGCGTGCAGCTCGAAAGCACTCAACTACACCGTGCGTAGAAACCCGAGACGCCATTTGAACTTTCAAGCCTGCGTGGGACCGGACACGCGGCACGGCACGGCACACTTGGCGCTTGGGCTTCTGACAACTCAGCACGGCACGCCACGTGGGCGCAATTCTCGCATTCTCGACCTTCGGCACGGCACGGCACGCTGACCACGGGGACGCTGGCGTTGGCGATGATGGTGATGCTGATAATGATGAAGATACGGATGAAGATAGTGATGATGATGATGGTGATGATGATGATGATGATGATGATGATGATGTTGAAACCGGGTTCGATTGGGGGAGTCTGCTTCGGCTTGTTTGAGCAACTCTCGGATGGTGCGGTTGCGTTTGGCAATTGCGCGCGGGCACGCATGAGAGCCTCAACCTTTCCACTCGTGTCCGATGAGGGGGCCCGACCTCTCATCGCGTTACATGTAATAAGAAAGCCCATCATGCATAATAATGGTACAGTACATGGCTCGACTAGGCATTTGAGGTCTCAACAACAGCGGATTAAGAACATTCCACTCTACGAACTCAGGCGACAGCGACGGAATGACAAGGGGAACAAGCGGCAGCGCCACAGGGCACTTGATGTAATGATTAATATGGTCAGAGTCTTGGGCTCCATAGCCCATTGCGCAATGACGATTGCCAGACTTCAGCCGAGCAGAGGTGGGCTAGGCGTTACAAGCCGATTTCAGCAGAGAGGAGGCGATGCATGAGGCTTCTTTGGTGGCGGCAAGGAACATGGCTCGAAACCGAAAGTCGCCATGGCTCCTAGGAGACTCACTCCAGAACTTTCGGGTCCTTGGTTGCAGCAGGGGGGTAACAGAAGGTCGCTTGAGTCCGCTGGCAATCGCGGCCGATACTTTCCTCTGGCTTCCTGGATGCTGGTCGAACGTCAGAGCGAAGGGGGCACCTGGGAACGGGTGGCCTTGTTTCACCCCGCGGGTGAATATATAGCCGGGAAACCTCTTCCCAGCGAGTCGAATGGGGGAGTGGATATCAGAGTAGAGCTGCCCAACAACGTGCAAGATGAAGGTGGGGGCGCCCATGCTTCGCAGCGCATAGTGTATCCATGCATGTGAAAGCGACGGGAAGGCCGCGTTCATCTCTAGGAGGAAGAGACCAGCATACTGGCAATCATTCTAGCAGGCATGCGCCAGACATTCTGCTTCGATGCTGAGGATATGTTCAATGAGGTACTTGCCTTTTTTTGTAAAAAACGACCTTTCCTCATCGGGTCAATGCGAGTACACGTAAAAAGCTCGCTCTGAGCTTGTTGTCAGCGCTGCTGAAAATTGTCGCCCTCACCTTGCCAGATGGGCGCCCGATAGGCCGAGCGTCGTTTGGTGTAATATCTTTGGGCAAGAAGACGGATGGCCCATGATTGAAACCAGCGGGCAGACTAGCACCCGCACAGCGCGATTCGTGCACAACGTTGAGGACATGGTGAGCTCGCTCGCCCGCGTGCTTCCAGCGCGTGCACGGACTGCCGCCGGGGCCGTGTGCGGATTCCCATCGATGGCCCCGACGTCGGTATTCCATTCGATGCCTGGAGCAGCGCCCCGGATTTCCTCGGAGAGTTCGCCCGAGACAGCTTCGAACAAGGAGGACCTCCCGGAAGGCCGAGTGTGAACATCGCCTCAGTTGGCTGCCAAGGCCCGAGCGCTTACTTCCAAGGTCCCAGGGTGTGGGCCGTCGGGCGCAAATACTCCACCGAGCACGATGCGCCGTCTCTGCTTTAAGCGTATGTGGAACTGAATTTGCCGCTGCCCAACTTCGGGGAGGTCGTGCCTGGGGTCGGGGGGCGTGCAAGGTCCTCCAGAACGACACTCAAGCTAGGATCGTGCAGGTGAACGTGAAAGTGGTCATGGAGACTGAATTGGCAGCCTTCGGGGTCGATGAACCTAGCCAGTTCGGGGTCAATTGTCAGACGCATGTTGACCTAGAAGCCGGTACTTCGCCACCAGGTTCCTGGACAAGGCGCACCTTTGCAAGTACGTCGACTTCGTCACCGCCTGATCCCGAGGCTTTGCCTCCCCGGCCTCGCTCTGAGGCTGCGCCCTCCCTCTGTCCTCCCCCTCATTTTAATTCAAGCTTCGCGCGGCCCGACCGGAAGAGGTGCGCTCTCGACCCGCGGATCAAACATGTTGACCTAGAAGCGAGCGGCTTCCCAAGGGGCCCCGACCCGCAGGGCCCGCGGCGCCTTCAGGCAAGCGGCGGTCTTCTGCTTCATTCGATCTGTCAGCTCATTCCTGGCGGCGAAAAGATGTTGATCCGCGTGCTCAGCTGCTGGAGCGAGACTCCGTCGAGGTCTGCCTCGTCGACGGGAGCGTCGATGAGGGAACCAAGTTCGGGATGCTCAGAAGACCGCCTCGAAATGCCCTGGCTCCTACGGGGCCCAGGGGAGAGAGCGAGATACGCGGGCACATGATCAGAGACCTCGTCGATGTAATGGACGTGTCCAAGGGCTCCGGATTTGGGGTGCCAGTCGACTCTCGACCGCGGGGGCGTTGGTGTAGACCCCATCGATGCGACCGGCCGAAGTAACAACATTGGTCCTTTCCTGAGTCCGATGCGTGGTGCGAGGCCGCGCGATTTCACAGAAACTCGGGGAACTCGGGAAAGCGCCCCCGAACTGCCTGATCAACGTGGTGCTGCCTCCTGCCGGCTCGGAGCCGTCGAGTGGGATGGGCGCGTCATCGTCCTCTAAAAAATTAAATTCGCCTGCCAAGAATGACGCGCGCATGTCAGGGCTGGGAATCCGTCGGGAGGCTCGAGTCAGAAGTCCGTATTTCACACCTTGCGGAATAAGGAATTCGATTTGTAGGTTTATGAGGAGGGGGGGGGCCCTGATCTCCATTCAGACGCACGTAGAAACACCTTCCGCGGTTGACGTGCCTCACATCACGGTGGCAATCGACGAAATCAACCAAAAACTCCTTGCGAACCGAGACTGTGCAGCTGCCGCTAGCGGGGTTTCAGCAGAACGAGCCGACATGCATATGGGACGGGACGTCGCGCTCGAATGAGCTTACGTCGCCATTCGACCCGTGAGCTTCTTGACGCATAACCGCGTATGAGCCGTGCTATTTTCTTAAGAGTTTCTTGCGCTGTCTACGCTGTGAGTCATACACACTGCCAAACAGGGTTGCCGGATTCAGTTTCGAAGCTGAAGAATTGAGAATTGCAGCGCCCTCGCCCTCTGCTCCTTCAGAATCTCCACGCGAAGACGATTGGTTGGGCGGATGGCGGGAAGCAGGTCTGGCCAGGGCGGAATTGCGGCCGTTGGGCCTGGCTGTGCAGCCCTCGACGCAACGCCGTCGGCATGGCCGCCGGGCCCACGAACGCGCGGAGGAGGAGGAGGAGGAGGAGGAGGAGGAGGAGGAGGAGGAGGAGGAGGAGGAGGAGGAGGAGGAGAGGAGGAGGAGGAGGAGGAGGAGGAGGAGGAGGAGGACGAGGAGGCCGAGGAGGACGAGCGGGGACTGCCCAAACTCAATCACGCGCTGTGGGGCACGCAAAAGAGGAATTGCTTCGCCACAGGCACGATTATGATCGGACCAGGAACAGGGGAAGAGTCATTCAGACGCCGACGGTTGCAGCACGATGAAAGATTGAGAGAGAGAGAGAGAGAGAGAGGGAGAAATAATGAGAGAGAGAGAGAGAGAGAGAGAGGGAGAGAGAGAGAGAGAGGGAGAGAGAGCGACATCGGATATCTGACCGGGGAAACCCGAGTCCACGATCTGCGCCTCGATGCGGTCAGGCGGCCCCTTGACGAACGCATCGGAGACCTGGACGTGCCCAGAACTGTAGGTGTCGAGGTCAATCTCAAAGTGCGAGTTGGAGCCAGCATGGCGAGCTCGTATGGGTCGCCGACCTCATAAGATACAGAACTCCTTGACATGGATTCGTGCCAAACATCATGCTCTGTGCGTTCCACTTGCCAGCGCGCATTATCTTGGCCATGATGGGATTATTCACCAGACAAAGAGCGTATGCCTTGTGCCAAATCGGGAGAGGCTGATCACTGCCGAGGCGCAGTGGGTGTGACGAGCTCGTTCTTGGGTCGACCCAAGCTATGGCGATGCTCTTGAAGTGGCTCCAGCAGATGTTCGCTCAAACTTTGGTCCGAAACTCCATCGCGTACGAGAGCTTGAACTCTGGAACATGGCCGTCACTTGGTCGCTCAGCTCGGACGGGATGTTGGTCCTGAGGATGCGCTAGTGGGCTTGGAAGTGCGTCACCATCAATTTCCAGGGGAAACCTCGGGCCCACAGCCTACATGGATTCGTAACCCTCGTATGGACCATTGGACGAAAACCGAAACCGTCGTGCCGTGGACAACCCTGCCTCAGTTCTGTGCGCGTTCGGTGAAATTGTCGAGGAGGGCCTAGGTATGGAAGTCATCTGAAACGAGAAAGTACCAACCTTTTCTTGCAACTGCTGCAAAATCTTGGCGTTGCCTGGCGGTGTACCGGAAACCACGGCACCAATCTTCGCATTCAACTCCTTTGATGATTGTGATGATGGTGATGATTATCAGGATAAGGATGGTGATGCTGGCGAGGGCGCTGAGGTCGACGACAACGACGAGGACAATGACGATGTTGATGGCGACGGTGGGGATTATGCCGACGACGATGGTGACGTTGATGGCGATTGTGATGACGGTGGCAGTGATGACGCGGGCGCCGACAATAACGAATCTTCGGATGAGGATAGTGAAGAAGTGCGCGCGGGCAGAAACGCGTCAGTCCACGCGCGACGTGGACGGAAACGCCATGGGGTTTTCTTGCACACCACTGTGCTGAAATAGTCAAGAAGCCAGTTGTTGTGAAATGAATTCGACGTGCGAGCGCGGAGGCACGAACGTGCGGCCCACACTGTGTTACTTGTCATAGTTGGCGGGCGCGCGATGATTGGGTCATGTCTTCGACATGCCCGCGCGTATGGCCAGCATGACTTCGTTCGACGGAATCGCCAACAACCGATGGCCGGTTTCAGCGAACGCGCGCGTGCCGACCCGGCAACTTGTTCGTTGAAGCAATTGGCGTAGTGTCTGTACATGCGGATGCATAGATGTACTGGAGTGCAGAACTGATGATGGTTGAGTGATTCCGTCACGCGCACGAGAGGGCGCGCGCATGTGGCCCGCATGGTGTAATTTGATAAAGCATGCTGAGAGTAGTTACTTGCTTGATCAACGCGTGTGGCCGCATTCCATCATTTGATCAGGATGAACAAGGAGGATGTGCTGGCCTGGCTGGCACTTGAGTTGGAATGTTGAACTATTCGACGCGGAGGTTCCCAGATGTGCATCTCCATTCCTGGCGCTCCCGTCTGTGAGTGTCTGAATGAAGGAATCTCAGACTGTGGTGATTGAGCGCTCCCTTGTTCCTCGTCTTCGGAGTGTCCCAATGCTACGTCTGCTACATCGCGGTGACTATGGGTCTCCCAAGATAAGAGAATCACAACCACCGTGCAAGCAAACCAAATGAGACATCCCTGGAATTCGCCGGCCCAACGGGCCAGGGCGTGCTAAGATCTCCGGTAACTGGTTAACAGTATTAACAGTATTTCTAGTTCGCGCGCGCGGGGCGGCCCCTGGGGGTCCCCCGGCGAAAAGTACCCCGACCAACGCCCGGTCGCCGCCCGACCAAGTCTACTCAGAGATGGTTTTCCTTCTGGGTGCGGCCTCTCAGGCTCCCCAGAGCGCGCTCAGAGTGCCCCAAGAGGCCCCCAAGACTGCCCAAGAGGCCCCCGAGACGCCCAAAGAGCGCTCGAAGACGCCGAAGATGACCCCAAGACGGCCCAAAAGGCCCCCAAGACAGCCCAAGAGGCCTCCAAGACGCCCCAAGAGCCTTCCAAGAGGCCTCCGAAGAGAGCCCCAAGAGGCCAAAATCGTTGATTTTCATTGTTTTTTTCGATGTTTTTTTGTGTTCTGGCTTTTTCGGCTTCCGGACGCTCCAAGACGGCCCAAGAGGCCCCCAAGACCGCTCCAAGACGGCCCACGAAGCTCCCAAGACGGCGCCGAAACGACCCAAGAGAGCCCTCAAGACGGCCCAAGTGCCGCCCAAGACGGACCAAGAGGCCCCAAGACGGGCCCAAGAGGGACTCAGGAGGGATACCGAGAACTCAAAAATGGAGCCCTCCGTCCCAGAAGGCGCCCAGGAGGTCCCAAAGAGGCCCCAAGAGGCCTCCAAGAGGCCCCAAGATGTCGCCAAGAGGCCCCAGGAGACTCCCAGGAGGCCCAAAAGAAGCCCCAGAAGGCTTCAAACATGTCTCCCAGGCGCCCCCGAACGGCCTCTCAACAGACCCCAAGAGGCCCCCCAAAGAAGCATCTTGACGACGACTCTATTTCGCCCCATCGAGAGACGACCCCCAGGGAACTGCTTCACCATCAAAACTCCCCACGCAACGCGTCCGAACGACACCCGCCCCCAAGAGCGCAACATGGGCAACGAACACACAGACAAAAACCAGCGATGCCATATCACGGGCCGGCGGAATGAGCGAAGCGATTCAATATGGGCGCGACTGGGCAAGGGCCCCCCTTTCCTGCGGGCTCCTCCTCGAGGTGTCCAAGCGCCGGGCCACCTATATCGCGATGATGGGCCCCACCCCCAAAAAAGACAAGCCTGGGTCACCGAACAGGCAACCCGCCTGAGACATACCTACACTCAGGGCGCGAACGGACACTGCCCCGCTCCCTGATGGTTTCTGCCTGGGGTGCCCAAGTGCGGCGCCTGCTTTATCGCGATGACTATGGGACGTCGAAAGACAGGAACCTGGGCCAGCATACAAGCAACCCGCCGGAGACATCCCCACAATCTGGGCGCGAACGGGGAAGTGTTCCCCGCTCTGGAGGCTCCTCTTTGATGTGCCCAAGTGCCACGCTTACTGTATCGAGATGATCATAAGGCAATCGAAATAAAAGAACCGGGCCACCAAACAGGCCAGCCGCTCCAAACATCCCACAATTTGGACGCAAACGGGCAAGGGTCCCCCTCCCTGGTAGCTTCTCCGTGGGGTGCCCAAGTGCAACGCCTGCTATACCGCTGTGATCATGAACTGTCAGAAGGAATCTGGGCCAGCAAACCAGCAACCCGCCGGAGACATCCCCACAATCTGGGCGCGAACTGGCCAGTGTCCTCTTCACTGGCGGCTCCTCTTTGGTGTGCCCAAGCACCATGCCTACCACGTCTGATGTGAGTCTGAACGTGAATGAGTCTGAGTGTGACCAATTATGTGTGAGCGTGGTCTGAGTACCAGTGTGATGCTGTGAGTCAGTCTGGGTGTGAGTGAGTCTGTGTGTCAGCGGGTCTGAGTGACAGTGAATTGGGGTATGTATGAATTTGGGTATGGCTGAGCTGAGTATGACTGCGTATGAATATGAACGGTATGTTTGTGGCTAAGTCTGAATCTCAGTGATTCTGAACACGAGTGAGTCTGCGCATAAGTGTCTGATTCTGAGTGGGCCTCAGTGCAAGTTTGAGTGTGGATTGGTTTGGCGTGCAGGCGAGTCTAAGTGTGAATGATTTCGATTGTGGGCGAGGGGAAAGGCGGAGAAATTTTCCCCAGAGTTTCCTGACACCCACGGGTTGGTGGCCTACCCAGGAAGCAGCAAAGGAGCGCCACAACTCGACAGGGGGAGCGGCGGATGGCTTCCTCGCGTGCTACCTTGCCCTCGTCGCAAGCGGCAGCCGCCACTGAGACCCGTCGACTGGGGTGCAAACCCCTGAATCCGCGCAAAGTTCTCGCGGCCCGTACGAGTCTCCCCTCCGCAAGCCCCTGAACCAAGGGTTGGTGGTGGCGGTGCACTTGCAACGGGAACAGAAGAACAAACTATGACGGGGCCACATCTGCAAGGAATGGGATTCGTGCAAGGAATGGGATTCGTGCGGTTTCTCCCCCCCCCCTCCCTACGAATCATGCCCGCAGGATGCCTCTCGGAGCGTCCTGCCATGGCGTGGCAAGCGGTGGCGCACTCAGCCTCTGGCGTGCTGGCAGCGACGAGCTTGTGGCAAGCGCATAGGCCCAGTGCCGTCCCGCCCTGGCATAACAGTGGGTGGATGCAGACAAAACTTTCTGGAACGAGGAAAGAGGCGGGAAGGAGGAAGGAGGCAGTTGGAGGCATCACACCAATCACGCGAACCTCATACTCAGGATAATAGGGAAGCAAGACGAGAGTGTATACTTCGAACGAGAGGGGACCTTATATTCTCGACTGCCAAAAGGTGCTTGCGTTTGCCGATAACGAAGAGTCGTAAGGAATACTGTGCCCTAGCATTTCGAAGCACGGAGAACACATCAGTGCGCCGACGGACGAATCTGATGATGGTAGGTAGCGCGAAAGCGGGCGAGACGAACACTTACTGAAATCTGGTAGCGTTGAAACGAAGCTGTTGACGATGGCGAATGGGGACGACTATTTTTTTGATAGTCCTCCCATCACGCATGTCCCGGGGCAGCGGGCACTGCCTCACCTCTGGTCGAAGCGAAGGACCTTCTGTTTGGCCTTTGCTAAGTCCGCCACCGTGCTACGAAGCACCGAGTGAAGTGTCCTCACCGGGTCCTTCTAGGATCTCCAACGCTGAGAGCTGTATCAATAATTACTCTTTGAAGGGCCCCTGGCACCAAACCTACAGAACCTCCGTGCTCTCTCGGACGATCCTGGGGCTTCTCGCATGGCTTTTTCAAAAGGAAAGCCTGGGGAGCGCGGTTCGGAACCCAAGCTGCCAAACTGCTCTAGAATATGGTGTCCTGGGTTCGTCCAAGGGGCTCTTTTTGAGGCCTTTTGGGCCGTCTCGGAAGCCCTGAGGGCTGGCCTAATGGTCAAAATCATGAAACACTTCTGTCGCTTTCATGGTTTGAACATTCGTGGCTTGCTGTTTTTAAGCGTCCGAAAGGCCTCAAATGTTGTCCCAAGACGCCCCCCCAAGGAGGGCGCTCGAGGATAACCCCCGCTCAAAAGAGTGGCGAACAACAGAAACTCGAATGGTGCCCTAGGAAGCCTCCCCAGAGGTACTAGAAGACAAAACGACACACCCACATAAACTTTTTGGCGCTCCGCGCGGATTTCTTGGATCTGCGCTGGACCCCCCTCCCTAGCGCGCGGGGCGCGCCAGGGGCGGTGCTGGAGGCGCCGCCGGTGGGCCCAGCGCGGATCCAAGAAATCCGCGCGGAGCGCCAACAGTTTATGTTCATGGCGTTTTTTCTTCGTCGAGCCCTAGGAAACCTCCCCAGAAGATGACAGCTTTTGTTGTTCCCCAAATAGGCTTGCCCTATAGGAATCCTAGCTCAAACCCTACTGATTGGTCCGTTGCCCCCCCCCCCTAGTTCCTATGCCCCCCACCCCCTTATTCCTATGGCTATGCCTATGCCTATGCCTCCCCCCTAACTCCTATGCCTACGCCTATGCCTATGCCTGCTTGCTTGCTTGCTTGCTTGCATGCTTGCTTGCTTGCTTGCACGCTTGCTTACTTGCTGAGTTGCGGATTCCAAACATGCTTGATTCCTCAGATTCCTTGATTTGAGTCATCAAATCTATTTGGAGTCAACGCTGGCTTATATGTCTTCGGGGAAGACTTGGACATTTTCTCAGAAGGCCAGGAGACTTCCGAACCTTCTTAGAATGCCTTCTCCTTCTCACTTCCCCCTCTCGCTTGCCGCCGAGAAAAGGCGTGTGGAACATTTGGCTGTCCCCCTCCGACCTCCCCCCCCAGGGGACCAAAATCGCGGTGGCGGGGGGGGAGGCGCGGGGTGGGGAGGGGGGGTGGGGAGTGGAGCTCGGCAACGCACCCCTGGGGCCTCCGGAGCTTTCAAATCGACACTTCGTGGCCTCCAAGATGCACAAGATGCCCGCTAAGTTGGCTCAAGTTGTTCTTAAACACGCCGAGGAGGCATCAAAGACAGCCAAGCGAGCCTCAGAACTGCCCAAGAGGCCTCGAGGACGCCCCAAGAGGGCTCCAAGACGACCCCCAAGAGGGCCCTAAGAAGCAAGAATCGTCCATATCCTGTGGGAAGACGTATATTTTTAGCACCTTCGCATTTATGCTTTGACAGCGTCCAAGACGGCTCCAGGGGCTCCCAAGATCGCTCCAAAATGGCCCAACAGGTCCCCAAGAGGTCTCCAAGACGGCCGAAGAGGGTCCGAAGACGGCCCAAGAGGCGCCTAAGGTGGCCCCACAGACTCCAAACAGGGCTCCAAGAAGGGCTCAAAAGAGGTAACTCGAACTGACATTCCGGGCCCTCCGCCCCAAGAGGACCCCCGAGACCGCCAGCTGGCGTCAAAAAGGCCTCATCCATGGACTTCTTCCCTTCTGGGGGACGGAGGAATGGCGTAAGCCTCTTGAAAAAGATATTGCGCGCCATCTAGTACCATCCTCGAACACGATGATCTCGGCGTTCCGGTTCACACGGCCCCTGACTGCCTTCCCACCACCAATGTTGGTAAAATCTGCGATCAACTCGTCTGGATCAGTTGCGGCCGTCGGCTGGATAACAGCACTGGCCGTCCACCTGGTCTTCTTGCTTGTCTTCTCACAGCCTGGCTGTCCGTTGGGCTCTATGCCGTCCACACCTTCCAGCACGAGGTCGGGGAGCTCTGGATTCTTCGGGTCCAAATTCTTGATCACCCGACGGCAGTTCGGCATGGGAGGTTCTATCTGTACGTAAAGCCCTTCCCAGTTCCAGTCCTTTCCAGGTCGCGAGCTAAAGTTCATAGACACTGGGACAAATGGAGATTCGAGGGAATTTATCTGGCACGTGGCCGTGGGGCTCAATTGCGAAACTGGTCAGCCTTCTGTTTCTTCCTCTTACCATCCAGTGCTTGCACTACACACTGCCTTCAAATGATTCGGTCCCACGTGCTGGCTTTCGGGGAGGATGTCCTAGGGTTCCGTCCGTGGATTCTGGCCCCCGCTGCCCCAACGTGAAATGCTTTAGCGTACTTGTCCACAATTTCTTGCCCATTGAACCCGAACATTGACTGGCTTTGGGTGCTCGAGCCTCCATTTGCATGGAATCTCGATCCTTAGGCTGGCCTTCCCACGAGTGCCATGTTTTCTCGACGTGGGCCATACAATTCCACTTCTAGAGTTCTGGCCTACATTGCCTCCGTGTGCCAAGTTTTTTGGCAGGTGGCCGTAAATTTCTGGTCGCAATGTCTAAGCCCCAATTGCTTCTGTGTGTTGGTTTTCTGCTTGTGCCCATTGGGTCCCGCTCATGGGGTCAGTAGCCCCAGCGTGTTGACAAGGATCCAATCCCGAAGCCCAGCCCGAGAGCACAAAAGAGTTAGCTTGGCGAAGGGCCCAACCAAATGGAGTTGTAAGTACCGCCTTCGGTGGTGCTCCCTGTGGGGCCAGGAAGCGTGTATGGGGTGTGCCAGATCGGGGGCGGGTGCGCAAGGCCTTCGGTGGAGCTCCCTCTAGGGCCACGGAATGTCTGAGGGATGTGTCGAATTGGGGGCGGGTGCGCTGTGCGAGCCCCGCCAGTGGGGCTGCCGGTGGAGCTCCCTATGGGGCCACGGAGCGTGTGAAGGGTGTGCCGAATCGAAGGCGGGTGCGCCATGTGAGCGCAGCCGCTGGGGAGTTCGGTGGCGCTTCGTGCCAGATCGGGGGCGGGTGCGCTACTTGACCGCAGCCACTGTGGCCTTCGGTGGACCTCCCTATGAGGCCACGAACAGTGTGAGGGATCTGCCGAATCGGGGGCCGGTGCGCCATGTGAGCGTTGCCGCTGGGGCCGTCGGTGGAGGTCCCTGTGGGGCCACGAAACGTGAAGGGTGTACCGAATCGGGGGCGGGTACACCATGTGAGCGCAGCCACTGGGGCCTTCAGTGGAGGTCCCTGTGGGGCCACCGCCACCAAATAACGTGTGAGGGATGTGCCGAATCGGGGGCAAGCGCGCCATGTGAGCGTAACCACGGGGACATTTAGGGGAGCTCACTATGGGGCCATGAAACGTGTGAGGGATGTGCCGAATCGGGGGCGGTTGCGCCATGTGAAAGCAGCCACTGGCGCCTTCGGTGGGGCGGCTCACTCTAAAGCCACGACGTGTATGAGGGATGTGTCGAGTTGGGGGCGGGTGTGCCATGCGGACCCTGACGCTAGGGCCGTCGGTGGAGCTCCCTGTGTGGCCACGAAACGTGTGAGGGGTGTGGCGAATCGGGGGCGGGTGCGCCATGTGAACGCATCCGCTGGGGACTTCGGTGGAGCTTCTCTTGGATCCACATAACGTGCGAGGGATGTGCCGAATCGGGGGCGGGTGCGCCACGTGAGCGCAGCCACTGGGGCCTTCGGTGGAGCGCCCTCTGGTGCCACGACGCGTGTGAAGGTTGTGCGGAATCGGAGGCGGGTGCGCCATTTGAACGCGGCCACTCGAGGCCTTCGGTGGAGATCCTTGTGGGGCCACCAAACGTGTGAAGGGTGTGCTGGGTCTGGGGCGGGTGCGCCATGTGAGCGCAGCCAGTGGGGCCTTCGACCGAGCTCCCTATGGGGGCATGAAGCGTGTATGGGGTGTGCCGAATCGGGGGCGGGTGCGCCATGTGAGCGTTGCCGCTGGGGCCGTCGGTGGCGCTCCCCGTGGGGCCACGAAACGTTTGAAGAGTGTACCGAATCGGGGCCGGGTACACCATGTGAGCGCAGCCACTGGGGCCTCAGCTGGGGCTCGCTATTGGGCCACGAAGCGTGTGAGGGATGTGCCGAATCGGAGGCGGGCGCGCCATGTGAGCGCAACCGCGGGGACCTTTCAGGGAGCTCCCTATTGGGCCACGAAGCGTGTGAGGGATGTGCCGGGTCGGGGGCGGGTCCGCCATCATGTGAGCGCAGCCGCTGGGGCCTTCGACCGAGTTCTCTATGGGGGCACGAAGTGTGTGAAGGATGCTTCCACATGCGGGGTGGAACCATGCGGAACGTGCCGTTGGGGCCGTCGGTGCAGCTCCCTTTGGGACCACGAAGCGTGTGAATAGTGTGGCGACATGCGACTGATGGTGGTGATGTTGATGAACACGATGACGATGTTGTTGTCTATGCTGCTGGTGATGCTGCTGTTGCTCTTGTGGGTGATTATGATGGTGATGGCGACGGAGATGACGTTTTTTTGTTTTTTTTTCTTCTTCTTCTCTGGGGGGAACGCGACTGTGTGGAGGAAGGTAATCAGTTCCCCGTATGAACTGTGCATCAGGCGGAGGCTGCGCGAACGGCTGGGCAAGAGAGAGCTTTCCACCAGCGCTCGGGACTGCCTCCAAGATGGAGCCCAAGCCTACCCGTCGCACTCGAATTCATACAACGACGAGCCCACGTCGGAGACGCGGGAAACAAACAGACGTGGGCCCCACTCCGCCCAGAGGGCCAAGGCAAGGCGGGGAGGGGCAAGGACAAGTGGGGGGGCCCGCGGAACGGCACAGCCTTAGGAGGGACGCCCAGCACTGACTGAGCCCTCAGCAGTCCTTGCCCGCCTCTGAGGGAGCTGCCCCAAGAGGAGAGCAACAACACTATACTTGCCGCTGATCACGATGGGTCGGCGTTGCGCAGCCAGACGATCCGGATGAACCCTGGCAGCAGCATGCCGGCCACACGCAGGACAAAAGATCGAGCCCTGGACCCCTCCTTGGAGTTTGTGGGGCCCGTGTGGGGTCCAGGGCCAAGGTTCGACCACTGCAAGGAACCTTCGAAACATTTTTTCGTCGGAGGCTAAGCAAAATAACTGCGCTGGCGAAATAGCTATTTAAATGGGGACACCGTCTAGCAAATTATGCTACAATGCAAGGAAAGAAAGGGAAAGCAGGGAGGGCGGCCGCAGGAGGGGGGAGGGGCGAGGGCCGTTCAGGGGGACGGGTCACGCCCGAAACGGGTGGCGCGGCCAGCTGGCAACGGCGGCTGCTGCGCTGGGGTGCCAGCGACGGCGGAGCCCAGTGCGGGAACCGAACGAGTCCAGCGGGTCAAATGTACAACCCAGTCATGGGCCTGAAGACCAGGCGGTGGCTGCGCATTCCCCAAGTGGGGGCGCGGAACAGGCGGCGAACCGGTGTCGCCAAGGGGGGGTGTGACCAGCAGAATGCTGGGCTGGCAGAAGGAGGCGGGGAGGGGGTGGCGGGCGGCAAGACCAACCCGGCGCCCCAGCCTGGCGGCTGCAGGCAACGGCTGGGCGCCATGGCGGCGCGCGGAGGGGGAACGTTGGGGGACAGGCGGCAAGACCAAGCCCAGGAACCCGAACGCGAGGCGTCGGCAGGCAGCAGTCCGGGCGCAGCGGCGGCGCGCGGAGGGAGGGGGGCGGCCCCCATTGCCGGGGAGGACAGGGTGGGCCAAGGGGGAGGGCCAAAGCCGCCACTCGTCGCAAGGGTGGGCAGCGAGCGGCGCTGCGCGACCGGGCAAAACTGTAGCTGGCGCCGGCGGCCCCCGCTGCCCGGGTGCACAGGGTGGGCCAGGTCGGGGCACCTATTCGGCGAGGGAAAACGCGGGGCTTTACTGGCGGAGGAAGCATCGGAGGAAAGTATCGTCGTGCCGTCTGGGGTCGCGGGTGCCGCCGCCGCGCAAAGCGTAATGTTTGCTCCAGGCCGCACTGGGCTCACCACTTGTGCGCTGCATCCTCCTGACCCGGGCCGCCAGGGCTCCCTCTGAAATGCGGTATTGGGGCAAGGCGCGTGCTGGGACGTCCTCGAGACGCGCCCGTCCCTTGCTCTGCTTCCTGTAATCCGAGGTGAACGAATCCCAGAGGGCGCGGGCGTCCAGCGAAGCGGTCCAGGTGCCTTTGAAAGAGGAGCTCGCCCCGAGCAGGCGGAAGTGTCTCCCCTCGCAGACTGGCGCTGTGGCGACCCTCGGCGCTGGAGCCGCCATTGTACGTCCTGGCTGAGCGAGGAGCCTCCAGGGCGGGCAGTGGGTTCCCGTTCTGATGCTTTTCGGCGATGGCCCAATCGCCGGCTGCCGCCACGGCCCCAGCGGGCTGCAAGGAAGATCGCCCCGCGCCGCCCCGACTGGATTGTGCTGCTGGGTTCCGCTGCTCCCGATTGTGCTGCTGGGTTCCGCTTTCCGGCCGTGGCGACAAAGGGAACCCGGGACGCTCGCCGGCGACGGGGTCGGCGTCGGCGTTGGGGCTGGCGCCCGCTTCGGCGTCGGCGTCGGCGTCGCCGTGGGCGTCGTCGCCGTCATCGCCGCCGCTGGCGTCGGCGTCGGCGTTGGTGTCGGGGTAGGCTTCGGGGTCGTCGTCTTGGACCAGGGCCGTCGCGGGGCCACCCTCGATGTCTCCGCCCCTCTGAGATGGGGGCCGTCCGATCCGCTGTCGAGGGAGGGCGGGCGGATGGCAGCGAAGGGGCCTCTGCCGACCAGGCGATTGAGTGCGGCTCTGTCCGCTTTCCGGGCCACCCCCTCCCAAGGCAGCGGCGCCGCGCCGCTACCGGGCGGAGCGGCAGCCCGGGACCCTCCAGGCTTTGGCGGCCGTGCGTCCCGTCGGGGCGCCTTGCCAGGGGGGCCTCTGGGCAGACGGTTGCATCAAGGAGGATGGCGTGGACCTGGCCATCCGCGACCACTAGTCGAACGTCAATGCCAAAGGGCAAATCAGCGGGGGCGTCGGCAATCGAGTTGCGAGGGCCGGCCATCCCCGCAGCCGTGTCCCAATGCCTGGTTCCGTGCTCGGCTTGGGCGTCTGGCCGATGCCGTGCGCCACTTTCGCTGGTGAGCCTGGGGTGGCGGGGGGCGGGGCC